GGGGGGGGGGGGGGGGGGGGCGGGGGTTGGTGCTCCAGGCCTGGAGCAAGGAGAAGCTGGGAGAGGGTGGGGTGGGTGCAGGCTGTGAGCACAGGGTGGCTCGGAGCAGACAGGGGTCAGGACGAGAGCCCTGGCCTGGGGTAAGACGGACACCGGGCTGGAAAGCCGGGCTTTTCAACCGTCTGATGTGCCTCTTGTGGAAAACGCGCTAGTCTCGAGCAATCAAACAAGCGGGATTCCTGGCTGCTTGGTCGCATAATCTGCCATTCCACAAACACCAGTTCTTAACGAACGTCAAGTCTGGATTCTTCCTTCACGTGACGCTATTGCTTTCTTTATTTAAACTGCTTCCTACCAAGTGCCCCAATATATAAAGAATTTCAACACAAACAACGTGGCTCTAGCCACTACCAATTCGCAGCCTATATAAATTTTGATGATTGGCTGTGTTCTCCTCCTCCCCAATCTATTTTTAAACTAAATCTGTCCTCTAGCTGTAACATTTCAAAACTTCATTTTCTTCACTTCTAGCAGCAAAATGTCCCTGCAAACCAAAACCACGCACAACGTCTCTGGGCAGCCGCTCTCCCTGGGGCCCGGGGGGGGGCTTCGCGGGGCCTCGAAGCGCACCAGAGCCTGGGGCCGGCTTCTCTGACGGCCCTCCTGCGGGGCGCACCCCACTCCCTGATGCAGGCACCCATTTCCACCCCACAGGAGCGGATTCCATCCAAACGTGAATTCAGGGAGCGTGGGACCGAGGTGGACATGGGAGAAGCACAGGCGGCAACAGGGGCAGGGGCAGCGGTGAGCCGACGGGGGGACAGCAGGGGGCCCCTGGGCCCCAGACCACAGGAGGGGTCCGTGCGCGCTCTAGCTGCACGCCCAGGGGCCGCCGGGCCTCCCCGCGCACGCCCCAGTCACACCACCGCTGCCTCCGGGCTGTCCTCCGGCTGCCTTCTCCACCGGCCTCAAGCTCCTGGCTTTCCGGCTGGTTCTTTCTGACCGTCGGCTCTGCTCCCCTCACGGCCCTCTGGTGCCGGGCCCAGGACCTCGTGGCTTTAGCACCCACTCCCCATCAGAGCCGTTCTCTGCGTTCCGTCCTCCCCCCACCCGCAGGGACCCCATGTGAGCGTGGGCCCCAATGGACAGAGCATTCCGTCCTCTCCCCCCACCTCCCCTCAGGTCCTCCTCACTCGCCACCACCCTCCAGAACGGTGTCCCGCCGACTCAAAGTCCTCCCGGCCCCGCAGGTACAGGACCGCGATGGGAAGTCCAAGTATGGCGGTGGGGGGGGAGCCCACGGAAGGCGCCTCGCCGCGAAAGGGGAGTCTGCCGCTCGGCCACCACGCGCTGTCACCATTCAGGCTGCAAAATACTGGCTCACCCACCTTGCGGGAAATGCCACAAATCCCGCTTCTGTGGACGATCCCACGATTTTGGCAAAAAACCCCACAATCTTCTTTGCCCCAAAATGAACACGCCAGGCAGAAGGTCGCACTGGTTGCTGGCGTGTAACCTGGGCCCCCTCCGTCTCTCATCTTCCCAAGCCACCGCCCCTCCGACATCGCTAACTCGGCCACCAACACCCCCCGCCCCGCGTCCGCCTGTCCTTCGGTCCGTCCGTCATCTGCTCGGCCTCTACCACACCCCACGTCCACCTGTCCTTTGGTCCATCCGTCATCTCCTCGGCCTCCATCACCCCCCGCATCCACCTGTCTTCCATCCTTCCGTCATCTGCTCGGCCACCAACACCCCCCCGCGTCCGCCTGTCCTTCGGTCCGTCCCTCATCTCCTCAGCCACCGCCACCCACCCACGTCCTCTTGTCCTTCCGTCCGTCTGTCGTCTGCTCGGCCACCAACACCCCCCGTGTCCGCCTGTCCTTCCATCTGTCCATCATCTCCTTGGCCTCCACCCCCCCCCGTCTGCCTGTCCTTCCGTCTGTCCATCATCTCCTCAGCCTCCACAGCCCGCCTCTTGGTGAACTGCATCTCACTCACTCTTCCTCAGCTCCTAATGTGCGGTCACCAACCTAACCAGGGTCCTGACCACATCCAACAATACTGTCTTCCCAGGATCCCTGTATCACCTATTCCAGAATCTTCCATTCTCCTCAAACCCAATTATGTCTCTCTTCCCCTCCACCCTACACACTTCGCCTCGTGCCACCTTAATTTTCTTCCTTCAGATGTCTACGGAATGTTTTCTTTTCTTCCACCTTATTCTGGTGTCTCAACCATGCACTAACTCTCTGCTAAGTCAGGAAGGGAGGACAGGAAAAGAAAAACAAGAACACTTTTAACATGCGCCTCAAATCAAAAGACTTGCAGCACCACCAGTAGACTCATCAGTGACACCGCGATCTACAAGAAACAGACCCTTCCCAGAGCCCCGGTGGCTTGCGCAGAAGGTGGCCTCGTTCCTCAGGGAGAACGGTCCAGGGCCTGGGGGAAAGACCCCCGCAGAGGCCTCCAGCTCTCCCCACAGCCTCAGTCTCACAGATTTTCTTTCCTTCTGGCACAGCGAATGCACGCCTGCCTCTGGGGCTTCCGTCGCTGTTCCTTCCTCTGGGATCCCTCCACCCCCACCCTGTTCTTCCCCAGCCTCTGTCACTCACGCCTCTTTCTTGAGGCCCTCCCTAGCCACCTCTTCTAAATGGCCTCCTTCCTCTGTCGGCTATTATAGGACCCCTTATTGAACCGTCTTCAAAACGCCCAGACCCTGAACCCACAGGAGCCCTTTTGTTTGTACGAATCTGTCTTCCACACCTGAAATGAAGGCGGGAAACCGGTCTTTCTCCTTCGCCACGTTGTCTCCACGACCCAGAGAAATGTACACAGCGGCCAATATACCACCGTGACTACTTTCTTTTGGTGCTAAATTGAAGGACATGTGCTGAAACTTTCCAAGTCCATTCCACATCAACAAACTCCAATTGGGATCCTATCAACTGAGATCACGACTTCTGTAGACGGACGAAGAGTTCATATTACGTCATTTATCCACCGTGAAGTTCGTTATAAGCAAATACGAACACGCAGTCAACTTCAAGCCACTGCCGATTTTAGGCTAATTAAGAGCAGAAACGTCCTTGGGGGGCAAGCACTCCCGTCACCGGTACCTGCTGGAGTCGAAGAGACGCTCGACAACACACACACACACACACACACACACACACACCCTCCGTGGAACAATTCTCACATAAATAAATACCGCTTGTAAGGTAACTGTCCCGAAGAAGCGGGAAACACTAAGCTGTATCGAAACCATCTGTAAAATGCAGCCCTAAAATCCGTTACTTAAGTTCCCGCTCGTTACAGAGTGACTTACGTGTGCCACGTTTGGCGGTCGGCCGATCTGCTGAATGTCAGCATTATTCGTGATGTTTCTCAGCGTCCGCACCGCCGGACTCCAAGAAGCGATCATTTCTGATCTTTCAGAGCTCTGCAGGTTCTGTCCCGAAGCCACTACGCTGCCCCGGACGTCGGGGGGTAAGACGCTGCCCGGAACGGGTGGCACGCTGGCACATAAGTTAATCAGGCCCGGCTCCTTTCCCGGGGGCAGTCTGCGTTTGGCCGCGGCTAACTGTGGCACTTCCGCTGGGGTCCAGTTTAAGTTTCGCTCCTGTTTCTCAGGCGACGAATCCGAAGAGTCGTCAAACATCAACTCCCCTTTGGGTTTTTCGGTGTTTGACTTGGGTGAGAACCGCTGGGCACCGGAAGGGGACCCTTCTCGAGAACTGGCAGGGCTCGATTTCTCGTCGGTACTCCCCTCGTTGGGGGAATCCTGCTCCTCATTTTCTACCTCCTCCTCCTCCTCCTCCTCTTCCTCTTCTTCCTCTTCGTAGATAACGAGGCGAGGATGGTAAAATGCTTCATCCTTTTTGGTTTTTTCAGATATGCAATCCAGGACCCAGTCGGGGGTAACAATTTTAATACTTGCTCTCTTTAAAGCACATTCGTATTTCTCCTGCAGGTAAAGAACAAACACATAAACACGGCTGTAAGTTTTACCGAATCTCCTAGAACCGTGTACTGAAAACGTCAGGACAGGGATGCAGCTGAAACGGTCGGCACTTGTGACTGCCGTTTTAGACACGGAAAAGCTTAAACTCCTTCCAGACGCACGACTAGAGCCAAAATGAACCATCGGTCTATGAACTCGGGACGGCCTCACCCGCAACAGGGGTCTTACAAGATTTTATTTTATTAAAAACATTTTTTTTTCAAAGATCACTTATTTTTGAGAGACAGAGAAAGAGTGGGGGAGGGGCAGAGAGAGAGGGAGACACAGAATCCGAAGCAGCTCCGGGCTCTGAACTGTCAGCACAGAGCCCGTTGTGGGTCTTGAACTCACAAACCGCGAGATCACGACCTGAGCCGAAGTCGGATGCTTAACTGAGCCACCCAGGCGCCCCTTACAAGATTTTGTTTAAAGTTAACCTCTACAGATGGTATTTTAGAAAAAAGTACAGCTAGCAATCCCACGGAAAATTCTCTTACGGACAAAATAAATGATCGCCACCTCGCTTAGTTTTCACCCACTGACAATCTGCACAAAGCCGCAACGGGGGCAGGGCTCCTTCAGGACATCGGGCACAGTCAGGGAGGGTGGCCGACTTTCCGCGGGGAGGCTTCCTCAACGAGGCGCCTAGTGTTAATCGAGCTCGCTCCACGGGAGACACAGAGGGTGCAGCACGTCTCTGACCTCATGAGATTTACAACTTCGCTCCGGAGAGAACGTGACCACGAACAGGAATACGATGTGCAGCCACTGCTGAGCGAGGCGGGCACATGTACAGAAGGGTCCCACCAGTGTGAGCCGCACGACTCAGGGAAGGCCTCTGTTGCAAGGGGAGGCCGGGCAGGGGCGTGACAGCAGGCACGGGCACTGAGCAAAAAACGTAGGGCGCGTGGAAAAGGTGTGCTCACAGGCAGGGGCCCCCTTACAAGTCAGGGTGTGGAACGGCACAGATAGCAAAGGATAAAAGACATCAAGGAAAGAGTCACATGATACAGGAGCTTTAAAATAAACACGTCTGAGGGGCGCCTGGGTGGCTCAGTCAGTTAAGCGTCCGACTCCTGATCTCAGCTCTGGTCATGATCTCATTCACGGTTCCTGAGTTCGAGCCCCTCATCGGGCTCGGTGCTGACAGTGTGGAGTTGGCTTGGGATATTCTCTCTCTCTCTCTCTCTCCCTCCTTCCCCACTCCCGCTCTCAAAGTAGTAAATAAACTAAAAAGAATAAATAAGCGAGTTTGTAACTATGGTTCGCTTAACTAACAGAATCTCCCCCCCGCCCCAGCTTCCAAAGCCTAGGGTAACAGCAGGTCTCTGGCAAACATGCTGGAGCCCCCACATTAAAATGCGTTTCCTGGCAAGAAGACCGAAGGTGGCACTCGCCGTTCACGGTCAGGGCAAGGGTGACCACGCAGACGACCGCCCTCAGGCCGGCGCTGGCCACCAACGGCAGAGGAAGCCGGGACCCACCTCCTGGGAAAGAGTGAGACCCCCCCCACGAGCCTCAGGGAGTTCACGCTGTTGCTTCTGAGGACGCTCCGCTTCGAACCTTCTGAAAACGCAGTCACGGGAGGACACGCGTGAATGACACCTGAGGCCAGAAGCGGATGTAATCACCGCCATACTGCTGAGACCCTTCCACCGTCCCCATCTGAGGGCACGGCTCCAACCATCTTTGTTATAAATGCAGATGTACGTGTGTTTAAAAGGTGGAGGGGCACCACGGTGTCCCGGGGCACAAACACTCTAGAATGTGCTTCTCGCTTCATACGTCGCGAACAACCTCCCACGTCAACGTGTGCTTCTAGGCCGGCCCTTCTGCTCCTAACTTTCTGGGGTACACTTTCCAACAAACTCCAAAAGCGGAGACGCCCGTGCAATAAACCCCCTGCACCCGTCACCCAGCTCCGTTAGCTGGCAACCGTCCGCCATCCCGCTTCACCTGTCTCCTCTGTGACGCTGCATCTCTGACGACCCCCGCCACCGTGACCCCCACTCAGCTGGGGGGCCCCCTCACACCCAGGCGTAACTCGTTTTAACCCCAGCACGCCATTCTGTTGCACAGTGATTTCAGGCAATCCCCCGTCCCCCGGATCACTGCTTAGTTATTTCTTGCATCATTCATTCTAGTAGTCTCTAACGTCTGGGGTTTTGTTACCATGAAAACCTGAAGTTAATTCTCGACACACATATCCTGAATCGCTGGGTCTGAGATGAACTCCTGGGTTCTGGTATCAGAGTATGGAAAGCACTTTTAGGCTCCTGGCCTCTAACTACACCCCCTCCTAAAAGGCTGTGCCACCAACTACGAACGACTCTATCAGCTGACCCACACGCCTGATAATACCCTGTTTTATTCCTGGCCGTGTGCTTGAACTCCTTGAAACCATGCTGTGTGTAAAGCATGATTTAAGTCATGCGTTTTATTAAGATGGAAACGTTTTGAAACCTATGTGTCGAGCAGCACGTGGGAATACGGAATGCTGAACTCAGTCACACCACAGCGTGCACTGACCACGGAAACTAAGCTGAGCCCGGGTGCCGTGCAGAAGTGCTCGATCACGACAGTGCACGCCTGAGACTAACACACCACCGTCCGCTCACTAAATCACGGAATTGAAATAAAAGCTTTAAAGAATTAAAAAATCCCCTTCTTTATCCCCCAAACCATCCCGAAATATTTAACCATGAAATGCGAAACCAACCCTCCCACGTCGCTACAGATGAGAGCCCTCTGTAGCAGACCAGAGACTTGCAACTTCCTGACCGCCTGTCCCAGACGAGCCACAGGGCTGTCCTAGGAAAACAAGTCTGGACACACACCGAAGTATTTATAAGCTACACAAATACGACCAGGTAACAAATCTGAGATTTCTACGTTATTTTCCAAGGTAGGAAGATGGTTTGCTGAAAATAATAAAACGTGACATTTTTTTTTTAAACTGTTAACAAATAGCAGAAGTAAAACTAGTGCCACGCGGTGCAGTCGCTGAGCATCTCGGACACCACGGAGAAACTCCACGCTTCGCGCTGGCAGCCGCCGTGGTCGGCCGGAGTCGTCGTCTGCACGCGGGGCCGGCACTCATTTCAGGAGGGACCTGTGTCCTAGGCAATTGACGCACAACACTGTCACTCACGCGTCCTCTCCCTTCTAACCCAACAGGGAGTTTTTGTCACTGAAAGACAGTTACCGCTTGAACAAAGGCGACCTAAGAACAAAGCAATGTCAGATGCCTTCGCCTGAGCTGACTTCCCAGCTAAGTCATTCCAATTCTCGAACCCTCACACGTACAAGTTACTAAATGCACGGACTCAGGGGCGCCTGGGTGGCTCACTCGGTTGAGCGTCCGACTTTGGCTCAGGTCATGATCTCACGGTTCGTGGGTTCGAGCCCCGTGTCGGGGTCTGTGCTGACAACTCAGAGCCCGGAGCCTGTTTCAGATTCTGTCTCCCTCTCTCTCTGTCTCTCCCCCACTCACACTCTCTCTCTTTCTCAAAAATAAACGAACATAAAAAAAAAAAAATCTAAATGCACAGACTCGGGAGCCAACAGTGCAGCCCACGGGGTCCGGGTCGTGGCCAGCGGCGGGGGGCCGGCGGGTCCTCCGGCCACAGCAGGCACGGTCGCCCGCGAGGCCTGCAGCTGCCAGAGACCAGCCCTTCCCAGCAACAAGCACACTCCCGTTGTTCCGCCGATTCTGTTCTTAAATCCCTTTCTTCTCCACTTGACTGAACATCTTAAAAATCCAGGAATACGAAAGGTGGTTTCGCTCTGCCGTTTAAACATGTTCTTTGTTCATAAAAATGCAAAAAAAAAAAAAAAAGGATTTGAAGAGATGCCGTTTATTTTTGAGTCTGACATTCACGCACTGCCTCTTCAATGACAATGACTCTTCAGAAGTATTTGCTCATCTTTACAAAAGCTATACTTTGTTTCCCTTCAAGCTAGCCACCTACAAGCAAATGATTTGCTCTTAGCCATAAATTATAAGATATTAATATGAAAAGAACCGTTATACCGTTTCACCAAAACATACTATATTTCTTAGAGTGTTATACAAAACGTGATTTACTTCGAGAGACTTAAGAGTCACATCTTACATTTTCACAGAAACGCTTCTTCTCGGACCGCGTGGCTAAGTTACAACCACACCCACTGGCTCAACATGGCTCTTGTCAGGAAACCAGCGTGGCCACGGCACACGTTTCCAGATCGCCTCTGCTCAATGTCAAAGCCTCTGTGAAGGAGGAACCTCACACGCCACCCCTGCCCCCCTCCCACCCCCCACTCCCAGCCAGGGTACCCGTGGGAAGAACAGGATGGCAGCACGGATTCAGAAGCAGTTAAGAAAAAAACAGGATACCGGCACGTGGAAAGTCAACTTGCCATAAACACACTCCTCTTGACTCTCAGAGTCATAAACCATCGTTCCTGGGAGGAGCAAAGTCTGGTTTCCAGAAAGCGATGGTCCTCAAACTCTCGTGCGCATCAGCACCACCGGGAGGGCCTCACCCAGGTTACCGGGCTCTGCACCTGCCCTCACCGGGTCCTGGTTCACGAGGCGTGGGGCGGGCCGCAGTCTGCGCTTCTCACAGATGCACAGGGGAGGCGGGTGCTGCTGACCGGGGGGGCCCCACTTGGGAAACCAAAACTCTGTGGCCCCACCAGTGCTTAGAGACAAGAACCCCACGATTATCGAGATAAATGTACTTGTATCTATTCTAGATCATTAAAAAGGAAATGGCATTGGAAACTTCGCCAAACACACGTTTACAAAGTTTTACTCAGCACAACGCCTTTTTAAAAATTGTGAAGAAGACTAAAAATACATACTTTCACAAGTAAAAATGAACTAAACTTTTACTGAATTTGAAAGGAAACTCAAAAGGAGACTGCAAAAACTTTCCCATTTTCTCCACAAAATAAACCCAAATTTCTTCGCATTTAGAGGACACGTCTGGCTCAGAGTAGAAACGATCATCATCTCGCATCGTCTGCGGAATGAAGCCAGGTCTAAGTCAGGTAAATGAACCGAATCGGCTTTTGTAAATGGAATCTAGCAATTAATCCGAGAGAAGCTCACAACCGTCACTCGGCACCGGAAGTACTGAAGGGATGCGTGAAGAGGAAAATGTACGTGAAATGCTTACCCCCTTCGGTTCGGGGACCACCAGATGCGTGCATTTCTTGTTGAGGTGCAGCTGGCAGTTCCCCCCATAGAAAGTGAGCAAAGCCCACAGGGCGCTCCTGTCTTCAGACGACACCTGGGAAAGGAAGGGACACCGGCTTCCGTCACACATTTCAGTCCGTGCAAGCGAGCTCATCGTCAAAGTACAAGGTGGCATCCTAGCAGTCCTGCTGCACCTACTGGCCTCCCTCGTCAAGGGAACTCGGGTAGGGGGACTCATGGGGGAACACGTGAGCGCTCAGGGATCTGCTTGGCACGGCAAACTTTCAACTCCTATCGGGACTGCTTCATAGACGTGATTTTTTTCACCCTGTCGCCAAATGAATGGAAAACGCATCTCCACGCTCCAAAAAAACGAATGGAGGATTCTTGCAACTCAAGTGACGGGGAAGCGAGCAGAAGGAGGGAGTGCGTCACCGCGTCTGACAACCAGAGGCTCGAAAATGTCTGCGGGCAACAGCAGCACCCAAGTCACTAAGGAGCCCCTTCACCATTGAGGGCTAAATACTAATTAAGAAATGGAGGAATGCAGGAGACAACAAGTTACCTGGAGCTCAGGGAAGATCCTAAGTATTATCTAACACATCAAAGGAAATGAGGCAAGCGTGAAAGGGCTCATTCTTATGCTTGCGTAACTGATGAAGTCAACTCCAGGCGGAGTGGCTCGTGTTGGAGAAGAGGCTTTCACTGGAACAACAGACACGGCTCCCCGTTTACTGCCTGCCTCCCATGTGCCGGGAACGGTGCCCAGTGCTTCGCACGCGTTCCTAACCCCTAAGACCGCCATGCCAAGTGGCGACCGGGAAGCCCCCGCACAGATCGGAAACAAACCTGCCAAAATTACAGCTCATCACCGGAAAAGCTGGCTTTCGAAACACAGGTGCGTCTAACCCCAGGCCTGCCTACATCTTCCTGCTGTTCTGTAACCTCCCTAAGGGCAACTACTCCCCAAAACGATTTCTAAAAAAGAAACTTTTAGAGTCTGAAAGACAAAAGAAGTAAGAGACATAAAGGTGTGTGAATTAATTCTGACGTAATCATTTAACCGGGTCAATTTTTTTCCTTAACAATTTATTACAAATTCAGGGTTACGGTTAAGAATTCCGTTAGTCCTCAGGTTAGTTCTGTGTTACAAACAGCATGTTTTTAAAAACCGCCATCATTCAGCTTGCCAGAGCTCTACCGTCTTACATCTACTTCCGTCCGTTTTACAAGTGTTTCCAGAACTTATTCTGCACTGCACACTCACTACTCTGTGGATACTAACAAGAACACACTAATCTCCTAAAATCACCTTGGAAAGTCACTGCTTTGTATCTCTTTAAAGTGGTCAGCCACCGTCACATTTCCGAAGACTGGACCAGAAAACCGCTATTTTTTTCCCAGAGGCTCTCGCAAAAACGCGGCTCTCCTGCAGCATTTGGAGAGGTGAGACTGACTCACGTGATAATCCAGACCGCTCCGAGAGAGCACTACATCCCCTCTTAGAACTGAAGTTCAAAGAGCAGCCCCTCTCTGTGCCTTCCTTGGGAAGCTGTGCCTACAGGGAAGCACGTGCAGCCTGGGCTGTGCCGACCGCGGCGAGCCAGGCCCCGGGCCGGCGCCACAGGGACAAGCCTCAACAGGGACAAGCCTATTGCTGGGGAACGAACATCAGGTGGGGGGGAGGGAGACCTGGAGCTGACACAGGGTCTCCAAAACCGAGCTCCGGGCCACCTGGAGACCTTCCACGAACCAGATCCTGCATCAGTGCACGTCTGGGCCAAGCGACTTCAAACAGCCACTCCAGCTCACGTGTGTAATGAATCTCTTTGCACACCAACTAAGAATGGTCTTTCCACACCAAAATGTTAACAATAGTGCCCCAGCGGGGATGGAATTATGGGGACATTTTTGTTGTCATGTTTCTACTTTTCTGTATTTTCCAGATTTTCAAAAGCATTAATTTTATAACTGGGGAAAAGGGTTTTTTGTTTTTTGGTTTTTTTTTTTTAAAGCAACCTACGTAAACTACAGATCTTGTCATCTCGGCCAACAAAGCTCGGACATGATCTCAATACCTTAAGACCAAAAACCCAAACGCTTGAGTGGTGAGTCAGGTGCGGCCCCCACACACGCGTCCCATAGCACTGCCGCGTCTCAGGGACACTCCTCCGACACGCGAGGCTCTGGCTCCGTGTCCTGCCCAGCCTCAACGCCCACTCAGCTACCACTGGCCCTGGACCCCACGGCAGGCTGCACACACACCCTCGTGCTGGCCACGCTCCGAAACCACATGCTCGCCCTCCCCACTATTCTGTCCTCTAAGGACGTGGAGCAGAGGGCGGTCACCTCGTCCACGCCCCCCCCCCCCCCCAGAATAAATGCCTCCTTCACCCCAGTTGGGAGCGCCTTCCCTTCCCGGTACAAGTAGGACACTCCTCGGTTCTAGCCCCCAAATCTGTCCTTGTCCCCTCCTGAAAAAAACTACAATCTGAAGGCACGGTTAAAGATGGAGGTCTCGCTAGGTTTCACCCCCTCGACCTCTCTGCCCTCTCTCACAGGACCTAGTACAGTGCAAGGCACATGGGCAGGCAGTCAAGAAATACCTGTTGATTGAGATACACAACGAAAGGGCTTTTATCTTCAGCCTTCAAGGCTGAAACCACAACCCTGGCCAGGCTCTCCGTCGCACTCTTGGCCTGTCCCCTGAAACCTACCCAGCACATCACAACGGAGGCCCAGCCTGCATCAATACCGGCTCGGGAGAAGGCAGATGGTGTGTGTGCTTCTCAACGTCTGCGGGCACAAGCTGCCTTCCCTACCTCTCCCTGGGAGAGTTCTGGAAGACTCCAACAAAGAGCTCCAGCCTGTATCAACACCCTGACGGGGAAAAGACAGAAGGTCACTGAGAGCCACCGAGCAAACGGTCCTTTCGCAAAGGCGGGGTCCTGCCTGGTGGGCGCGTGTGCGGGCAGGTGCGCCAAAGTTCAGCAAACGGTGTGGACGCCCGAAGAGTCTCTGCGTGGTGCGGATCCACCGTCGAGATGGCTCCCTCCGGGTACAGTTTCCACACCTCGCACCCACTTCTACACGCTTGTGTGTGTGCTACGACACGCGGCTGGTTCACAAGCGCGTCCTCCCTTGTGGATGGTGCGTTCGCTGAGGGGAGACATCCTATCTTAGTTTATTTTACACCCCCCATCGGCATTGCTCCCGTCACAAAAGGACTCATCTGGTATTTGTTAAACCAAAGTCCCTTAGCTACACGCTGTGCACGTGGTCTGTTAACACATCTTAAGCTGAATTAACATTTTTTAGCAACCAGAAAACATCAGTGTCTGCAGTGCACTCTTCTCAACTGGGGTGTCAGCAGGTGAGCTGCTCTCACCCTTATCTGATCGAGCTTTCTGCACTCAAAAGCAGAGCTTTTTACCATGTGATCCCATCACACACTGGGGATTCCAATCCATCATCCTAAGTGATGGACGGCGTAGCAAGTGATCCATAAAGATCAAACTAACTCCAGATTCTGAGTTCTACTACCTAATGAGTTTGCTAAAAGGATAGAAAAAGACTGTCACAGGTCCTTCTAAATTCAGTTGCCTGCCCACCACAGACCCAGCCACGCCCCGGCAACGTATTTCACACCTAGATAAAACTCTACGGGCTGGACCGCTTCCCAGACCACATGACCAAGGGACCCTTGTTCACCTCTGCCCGTGCTCCCTACCACCTAGTTGTGGCTTCTTCCATGGGCTCTCCATTCTCCCCCCTCCCTGCCCCTCTGCTGTCTTCTCAGCCCAGACCCTGAGGTCCACATGGACCACTAGGCCTGCACGATGGCCACCAGACCCATCAGCAGTCCTGTGTCCCTGCCCAGCATTCTTACTCTCCTCCTCTCCTGAGTCACAGGCAGGACTGAGGGGACACCCGGAGCCATGCACAACTCTCTGCTACAAATCAGCGCTCCCCTCCTTTACTTGGGGTGCTGCTGCTTCCCAGCAATAAAAACTGAGTCTGATTTCATGCCTGGTTTCTAAAAACAATTCCCTCTCCTCCAATAGCATCTCTACGCTCAGATTTCTTCTCTGCAGAGCCCCTTGACTGCATGCTACCCAAGGCTCTGCTCCTGGCTACCTACCTTCTACGTTCCTCTGGAAGAAGCAAATTCTCTGCCCATCACACACCCGAACATCCCCACATCTGGACAGCTAACCGACACCCCAAACTCAACGTGCTTCAAACCAGCTTCCCCGGCTTCCCTGAGGAACCAGGCTCCTGTTTCCCCTCTCCAGCAGTGATGCTGGCACTTCCCCCAGGCTCCCGGCCTGCTCGGACCCACAATTCACTGCGGAGGCAGCTCCAGGACCTGCCACACGGGCGTCCCGGGGCGCTGCCTTCTCCTCCTTCGTCCCAAGTGTGGCCACATCACCAGGCCCTGCCGACTCCCGTCCGGGCCTTGTATCCACAGCGCCATCCCGAATCCAAACCTCTGCCTCAAGTCCAAGATCACGCCCTCCCTCTGGCCCAAATTCCCATCCCCACCCCGGCCCCGTGTCCTGCTACAGCCCCCAGACCAGCTGCACCTGCCAAACTGCAAGGATTTTCATCTGCTTGTCTGCGTTTTTCAAATGTCCTCATGTAAATATTTGTAATCCTAAATTAAATACTTAAGAAAAAAGGAAGGAGCATCCTACTGGACACTCCAGGAAGCTCAAACTCCAACATCTGGGTCTGTTCCCGTGCTCTCCGCCCCCACCCTCCCAAACGCTCTCTGTCCTCTGCACTCTGAGCGCACACCTTCCGTCAGCAGCCGGCCTTGGCGCCCTCGTCCGTCCTTCCATGTTGCTCTGCCAGGAACGCACTCCCCTATCCCACTTTTGCTCTAATTCTGCCCATTCTTTGGGGCCCCTCAGGTCTGACATCTCCCCTCCCCCAGGCTTCCTGACTAGGTCGTCCACACGGGTGACTGCTCTTGTGATCTCACGCACCGACACCAGGCCACCTGATCTAGCCCATCATACAGCAGGTGTTGTGTGTGCCTTAACCTTAGTGTTGTAGGTCTGATAATCTGTTACCTTTGTGAAATGTAACCACTTTTCAACCTTTGTGAAATGTAACCACTGGTGTTTTCTAAGACTAAAAGTCTTCTCTGATGCTAAACCCATAGTTAATAAGGATCCCTATCAAATGAAGGTAGCAAAGACAAAAAGAGAGAAATTTCATAACTTTAAAGGACTTCAGGAATTAACTAGATGCAAACACAAAAAAATGAGCCTAACTGAGCTTGCCTACTGTGCGGACAGGGAAGGGGTCAAACTGTGGCGGGGAGACCGCCTGAACGAAGGGGGAGCCTGGCCAGCCTGGCTGGGTGACTCCCGACCACAGAGGCGCATGGCTGAGAGCGACGCCCTCCCGGGTCACCCAGGGCTTCGAAGGCCCCTCCTTGAGGCTTCCACAGCGATGGGCGCCACCCTGCTCCTCACCCAAGTCATTGCGATGCGTCCGCGAGGGCATGTGGCGAGGTCACGGTCAACCACACCTCTTCCTGTGCTCGTGCTGAACAGATTATCCTACGCAATTTCAAAATGAGTTCAAACAACACCAGCTGGACTTGTTACAATGGTTTTTTTTTATAGTTTGAGGGTTTTTAGCTGGGGGTGGAGGGCACAGAACACAATTTAAAAATACCGAATATCCACTTTCCTCACTACCTAGAATTTACCACGGCTAACGTTGGGTCCCTCCCTTCAGACATTTCTCGTATATTTTCCTTGGCTAATGGAACATGCACATACCTACGTCATGGCCTCCTCCCCACCCCCCCCACCCCCACCCCCCGCTTAAAGCACTGACCTCCTCTTTCCGTGTTTTCATAAAGCACCACCGACACTGGCTGTGTACTTACACTGCCGTGCAACCGCACACAACAGGTTTCTGAACCATTGCCAACAAGAGGGTGACCTGATTTTTTTTCCCATTTTACCCCAGATATTCTACACGATGCTCTGCTCAGCGCCTTTATCTATCAACCTGCCCTTATTTCTGCCAACTTGGGATACGTTTCTAAACCTAAGAGAACCGTAGGGGAAAACAAAATGAGTTATTTTAGGGCTCCCGTCACTACCCAACTTGCGTAGAAAGCAGCCGCGCTGAACTGCATCCCGCCAGCAGCGGGGGGAGGAGGGGAGCGCGTCCGCAGGTGCACCGGCACGGCACACACGCGGAGTCGGGCCTGCGCACGCGGCCAGGCGCGCGGGGTCAAGCGCGAGAACTGAAGCTCTTACGCCCGTGCTAGTAAATGTTCGTGTCCTGATGGCAACGTGTGTCACATGTTATGTCCCGCTATTTGCGATTCCTCTTTACAAAAAGTTGTAAACTCATTTTTTTGCCTTATCTACTGAGATTTCATTTTTCTTTGCCTTTAGGAGTGAATTTTTGCCATCTTAAATAATTTCATTTTCACTATTTTTTCACATTCAAATCTTACACCTTTGTAATTGTTTACGTTAGAAAGACCATTTCGCCCATTAAAACTTTAAATCTTAAGTCTAAGCAGGAACGTTTAAATAATTATAAATGTATCATAAGGTCACACTGAACGTGCAGCTTAGTAGAGAGCTTCTTTAAAACTGGTTTACAAACAGGTCATAAATCTGAAAGTGTAAAAACTCAGAACTGCTATGTGTAAACAACACAAGACGGACCATAACCATGCTTACCTGGGAGAGGCACGCAGTGATTCCAAAAAAGATCTGACACGACTCTGGAGAAAAACCATTCACTCTGTTTTATAGTTATTAAGATTCCACTGAAATGAGATTAGTGCAACCTGCATTTCACGAAGACGTGCTATTTGCCCACTGGGACATGATCCACCCCACCCCCGCCCTCCCACTCAGTCCACGGAGCAAAGAGACTCAGATTGGCCAAACAGTAGAGGAGTCTCGAGAAGGAGCAGCGGACAGCACAGAGACAACGGGAGGTTCCGTGAAGTGCTTTCTAACTGAGCGCCTCCACCAACATCAAGAAAATGGGCCCAGCACACTCGCAGGGGAAAACATCTGACCTCCGAGGGCTGGCTCACTCCACACACACGTAAACACACACACACACACACACACACACACACACACCCACCCCTATATACACACACGGCACAGCAATTACTTTAACAGCACATTCCAAAGTCTAGAGTTAATTTTAGAAGGAAACGTTAACGGAACTTCTGGGCTATGACAGAGAGAATCTTCCATAAAAGAACTTGGGTTCTAGTCTTGCTACCGCTGCTAACTTTACGAAGCTGGGCAAGACCAACTCTAAGCTTCGGTTTTCCTTTACTAAAACAAGAGTTAGAATATACATAATTCCCAACTCTCCCGGCTCTAACACTCAGATTTTTAAAATTCATGCAAAAGAGCTGTGTGCCAGACATTGGGCATATGGCTCTACCCAAGGAGACATGACCTCAGGGCGCCAGTAACATACAGCCTATTCAAAGCCAACACGAGGACTTTTTTTGAAGAATCTGGAGTGTCCACAATTCAACATGGGTTATTAAAGTATTGCCCTGTTTTCCCAACAGGAATAAAGTATAGCTACTGAGGCAAGTGAGTGAAGAAAAACAGATCAAACTGAAAATCCTATTATAATGTGGAAGTCTCCCACAAGCCCTGCTGAGAGATCTCATAATTGACGGGAGCCTGCCTGTCTGACTAACCTCTGCAGACCCCAACGTCATGCCTTCAGCCCCATTATCCAAGATCGGTTTCCATGCTCCTACCTGTAGCTCAAGCATTTTCTCCTTCCAAAGCCTTGGGGAAACATGAACAAAGGCAAATCTAGATTGTGCCGTCCAAGAGTCTTGGGGATCCTTTTATGTCCCTTCGAGCTGCGCTTGGACAGGCAGATAAGAACTCAAGGGGAGGACAGCTTCTTAAGGAATCTCGTGCAGAGAATAAGTGATCCACAACAGGAAGAATTAACCTCTCATCCTCAAAATTATCCCTCTGTCTCCCAGTCTTTTTTTTTTCACCTGTACTTAGAAAACAAAGACTCCCAAAACAGCAAAATGGGATGAAAACTAAAACAAAACACGAACTGATTTCCTTTAACTCTTCAGATTATGGATGAAAAGCCTTAGAAGTTTTGAGTTGGAGTTGCTAGAGTTCTGCACATCCTCCAAGAACTGCTTATAGAGGGAGGTTGTGTTGATTTGAGGCCACCTATATTTAATACACAAAGATTTCCTCCGTCTGCATCAGTTCAATAAAGTAAAAATGCATTCCCAGGACCCACCTGGCCGAGCTGCAAAACAAAACTGGACGAAAGACATCATCATCTGCAATTTTAGCATCAGGGTACCAGGTACCCTGAAAAGGAGCACCTCCACGATTAGGTTATGCGGGGAGCGACCCTCCAGGGAAGCTGCACACAGCCAGGGTGAAACAGAAGCCACGAGGCTCAGAACACGAGAGGGCAGCCCGACATCTCACCCAAGGCAGGGAGGACCGTGCTCTAAAGCCACACTCAGGAAATGCAGAAGCAGGGGACCATGCGTGGGAGGGAGCTCCCTGAGGGCAGCAAGGACACCTTGTCGACCGACCCCTTTAGTTCTGGTGCCCAGCCCATAGCAGATGCCAGCACGTGTGTTAAAGAAACCTTCTACCCGACGTAATCAAAAAGAATGCCAGCGCATATGAACGAAACTAGAAACGTTCTGACGCTCTCTTCCCCTATCCGTTCTTCAAGTAACTCATGATTTGGCCCACGCAGACTTACGAGTTTGGAAATAGTCCACCTAACTAGACATCACAAAACCTGTTCCAGAGACGAGAAGCTGAGGTCCAGAGAGGAGGCCTGCCCGAGATCAGAAAGCCCTGTCCTGGACCTGGAGCCCGGTCCCCGCAGCGGGCGGCCCTCCCTCCGGGGGTGGGGGTGGAGGTGGGGGTGAGACAAGGATCAGGTACAGAAAATCCGAATCAGGATGGAAAACACAAGGAACAGAGGACACGGACGGACACACACACACACACACACACACACACACAGGCCCAAACTAACGAATCCACTCAGTTACCATTTCAGTCTTAAACCCAGAGTTGTCCTTTCCCTCGCCCCTTCCCCAAAAAAGGATACGGCAGAAGAGCTCCACACTGAACGGACAATATCACCCAAGACGGCTGAAAAAGAAAATATGAACCCAAATCAAAAAATGCTTTCAATTTACAATCAAAATGACATTTCACCAGCCCTGCTCCTAGAAATTAAAGGCTTTGTTATAACTGATCACAAAGCACTACCACATATTTTAAAAACTATTATGCCTATAAAGGTAAATTCTAGGCACACACACTATTAATGCTTAAGCTTCGAGGTTAGCTGGGAACTGTCCTCAGACCCAAAGGGCTGGGGTCTGACAGCCAGGCCTACCCCCTCCCCCTCCCCATCCCAGGCACACTGGTTTCCCTCTTCAATCCCGAACCCAACCAAGTCTAAGTTCATGAGTATTTTCAGTAATCTCCAGTAGATATAAATGCTGGTAAATCGTGAGAAGTATTTCTGTCTGGTAATTTTTTATGAATTCCATAATTCAGATTAATTACAAAACCTTAGTTTAATTACTACCTTTTTGGGTAACTTGTATTTTTGAAAATTTGTATTTCCACATTTTTAACATTACATTCACCTACATAATACCCCATTTAGCCAGCTGAAACTTTCAGAAATTTCAACCAGCTGAAACATACACACAGACTTATTATTCGTGCATTAATTTATTCATCAAGTACTTATTGAGAATCTGTTTTGTCCCAGAGATGGTACAAGGCACTGGGGATATAATAACAAAGAACAGGTATGCGGTCTTTGCTCTCATGCAACCTATATTCCAACCTAATGATCTCCAAACTAGTTTTGGCACATACTAAGAACTTTAGAGGGACACCTGGGAGTCTCAGTCAGGTAAGCATCCGACTTCGGCTCAGGTCATGATCTCACTGCTCGTGGGTTCGAGCCCCATGTCAGGCTCTGTGCCGACAGGTCAGAGCCTGGAGCCCTCTTCAAGTTCTGTGTCTCCCTCTGTCTCTGCCCCTCCCCTGCTCGTGTGCTGTCTCTCTCTCTCTCTGAGTTAATAAACATTTAAAAAAAAAAAAAAAAAGAACTTCAGAAAACAAAATACCCCTGTCATTTTTCGGGTAACATCAACAATTTTTCAGCCTAAGTTTATAAAAGTGTGTCTTCTGTGAACAGGGTGTAGGAATACTGACCGTTTTATAAAATAAAGATTGGCTCCGCTTGGAATAATTATTTCATGATGATGTGATAATTTTACCACGCATTTTAAGTAACTTATTGGAAAAAGTGCACCAGGCTGAAAGCGAGCACTTACGCTTCTGCTCAGCACTTCACCCAGGGGGCCTTCACATTCTCTGATAATCCCGGGGAAACTCCAGTTCAGTTTAAGGGAGCTGGCCAGCGTTGGTAGCCAACACTGGCTTGGACTCTTCTATAGTGAGTGTCGTCACGTGAGCCAAGCTTCATGGTCCACGGTAGCACCCAAAGCCCCGCGGAGCCTGCTTGCACGGCTGCACACCAGGGCGGCTTTCGAGAAAGCAGCATTTCTAGTCATCCCATGGCGTGGCGTGGAGGGTTCCCAGAGCCCAGGGCGATGCGCTGTGACAGGACCTGGGCCGGTGAAGGTGTGACTCTTCCCAAGGACACTGGGACAGGTACCCCTTCTGACTATCGTGTGGCATACACCCTGGGCGGTGTCCCTTGGGGAACTGGGGGGCGGGGGAAGCATGGGTATTCCCACTTGAGGGTTGAGGGCCAGCCACCATCAAGTCCACGCAGAGCAGAATCACCCCCAGGCCCTCATTCACATGAGTCTAGGACACACTAGTAACACTAAAGCAGAAACGGAGAACCGGAAACCGGAAAAGCATCCGGAAAAGCATCGTAATAAGGAGCTCTTTATCCCAAAGGCAAGTAACACCGCATAAAAATAAGCCCACTGCTGGTCAGCGTTAACATTTCCAATGATGCCCTAAGGCCACTGAGAAAAATAAAAATAGATCCATTAAAAAAATTATTCCAAAAGTTTTGGTGCCTAAAGATGCAAGTTTTAAAGATCTACGCAATTCAAATATGTAAATGATAATCTGTCGCCGTGTATAAGGACGCCTCATTTTTAAAATGCAGTTGTCAAATTCAGTATGTTAAAGGCCAAGGGATCTGGGCTTATGGAGCCAGGCCTCTGCCTCAGTCGGCTGAGCTCAGACTAAGAACTTGAGGGTCTACTGGCGTCATCGTGGCAGGAGGACAGACTGCTGGGCCAGCTCTGACAAGCTCCATCATCCTGTCATGTGGCACCACAGTCCCTGGACAGGACAGGCGCGGCCACCAACTGCAAGTAGCCTGGGGCGCTGGAGACAGGAGCGCCAGGAGTGCTAACGGTGTGCCTGGGGGCTCGTGCCAAACTACAGCCAAAAGGGGACGGGTGGGCCAGGGGCGTACTAAGCCGGACTGGCAAAATGGTGAGAGTCACAGAAGCTGGCTAATAGGCACTTTATGCGGCCTTATTACAGCCTGACTCTTCCAGAAATACGACGTGTAAAATAAAGAAGACTGCTTTTTTATCTCCGAACTGTACAGGGACTGATCGCCACTCAGAAACATGACCTCGCAACTGGTGACTCTGCCTGCAGAGACGGGGACAGGTCTACATTTCAGGAGTCAGTTCACAGCGCCTCCACATACGGCAGCAGGTGACCTCCGCCTCCAGGGGGTTGTGCCCAGTATTTCCGTAGCGAATACGTGATCTTCACTTTCCCTTTTTCCCCCTTTACATTTCACTTCGGGGTACTTATATGTCAACACAAGTACACATTTGTGTATACGTGTTTTAAATTGTGGGACGCTCCTCTACGTATAAGTAAGGGGATAATAAAGGGGGTATTACAAAGCACAAGAAGGGATTTGACCGTCACCAGATTTAAGACCCACTGCTCTAAATGACCTCAGCCCCCAGCACTGGTTAATACGGGGGCCCTTTTAAGGTTCACTCTGAAACCTACACAATCCATGTGAAGTCACTGTCACAAGGCAACAGGCTCCACGCTACCGAGAAAAAGAAAGTGTGCAGGGAAAGGGGCCAGAGGCACGGTCCCCACAGCTAAGGAAGAATGGAAACAAACCAGAGACAAAAGCAGGATCCAAGGGAGGGAGGTGCCCGAGCCCACGGCCCAGGGCCTGTCGCAAGTCTGTGTGTCTTGCGAGGTGGGGTCAGGTGGACGGAGCAGGAAAGGTGCGGATATTCCGTCTTCACGAAGGACGTGGCCAGGCTGAAACGCACCGTCTAGTGCAGGGACGTGACCACTGTATTTCACTGCTGCAAATGAACAGTCGCTCGGACTTATACAGCCGTCTCTTGAGACTCTGGTCTCTGAAAGGCTTCTCCTGAGACACAGATCTGTTCTCAGGTTTATTTTCAAAAATCAGATTTCTAAGCCTGAAAGGCAGTTTCAGAGCCTGGACACTGATGAGGTGCACACCTCCCAGGGCCAGGCCGGCGTCTCTGTATCCCAGCCTCACTTAATGGCAATCCTTCCTGATTCTAGCCTCTCTTGTTACTAAACCACAACAACTTTTATACTGATTTTAAAGCAAAGTGTTTGATGGCATAAAGAAGAAAAAAAAATATGATAGTGGAATTAAACTATTTTAGGACAAATATACAATACCTCTGATTAGAAAAAAACTGAAGGACTAAAACTGTACCATTATATTTAACATCAGTCAACTCAACTACGGGCAGCAAGAGAAGAGCAGCACAGTGTGTAATCAGCAAACTCTGAACAACTCACCCACCCAGCTGAGGCCCCCACTTTCTAAAATAAACCAGCCGTCAGCTACGTAGCGGTACCAGTGACGGCCACCAGGTGGACAGCGTGACACATGGTCATCGCGACCAATGTCGGGGAGCAGTTGAACAGCACGGCAAAGGGGGGACAGGACTCCCTCCAACATGGCTGGCTGGAAGTTAAGGCCACCTGACACGGCGGGGATGGATCGTGACCCTGCTCCAGGAGTCACCTCCTGTCAGGACTCTGTCTGCCCCTGAGACTGAGCACTTTCTCCCGAGTCCCCAGTGCCCGCTGACGACACACCCCCTTCCAAGGCACAGGTCCTTGGCGTAGAGAGCTCCAGGCAGAGTCGAGATGGGGCCACCCCACGGCAGGTGCATCCGCTGACCAATCTAGACCTAAGGGAAAGGGCCTTCTGCCGTGGTGGGTTACGAGCTGTCCAAAGAGCTTTGTTCATCCGGCAGCTTCCTCTACAAAGCAAACACTCTGAGAAGAGCTCCACGAAGTCTTGAACGTATTACTTTCAAGATACACAATGAGATACATAAAATCAATTCGATTTACTACCGACCTTAACGACAGGTAAGTCAAAGACTTCCCGAGCTTCTCCAACCTCAGGATTGTCCCCGTCCTCTGAGATTATGTGTGAGGCTAGCGCGTTGTAGGACACTTCCTTCGCTTTCCCAGCTTTCAGAAGCTGGATAACCTTTTAAAAAAACACACAAATTAAAATGGAGAAACACATTTCATTCTTCTTTTTTTTTTTAGCGTTTATTTTTGAGAGAGACAGAGTGCGAGCAGGGGAGGGGCAGAGAGAGAGGGAGACACAGAATCCGAAGCGGGCTCCAGGCTCTGAGCTGTCAGCACACAGCCCGACACGGGGCTCGAACCCACGAACCACGAGATCATGACCTGAGCCAAAGTCGGACGCTTAACTGACTGAGCCACCCAGGCGCCCCCGTTTCATACCTGATTTACACAAATTACTGTGAACAATGAAAAGTGTAATAAACACACGCCATGTCCACCACATCAAGTTAATAACTGACTCTGAGTCATACGCAATCCAACATTTGAGGACAGTGAAAAGCAGCAAATCTTGACCCACTGACCAGGTAAGCACAGAGGCTGCGAGCCAGGTACTAGGCAGTATCTTGGTCTGACAGACAGGGGCAACAGTACCCAGGCCCAAACTCAAAGCACTTAGGGACAGGCGGTTTCACCAAAACCAGGAAAGCTTCTGGAAGAAGAGCCACTTGAGCAGAATCCCGATGAACTTAAGGAGTCGGCCACACAAAAATGCAGGCACCGACGGAGCACAGCATTCGACACACGGGACGGGACACCGGGCCAGACCACAACCGGCCTGACCTCCTACGCAAAAACATTTGTACTTTATCCTGAAATAAAACACAAGCGTCTTCTGGAGCGACAGAAGGGTTTTAGGCAGGGAAACGGCATGACCAGATTTCACCCAAAGAGTGCGGTCAGGGCAAGAATGGAGGGAGTGTGAGGCACCTGCAAGCGCCCGGGGGGAAAGCGGCAGGTACTGACCTGAGGGACTGTCCCAGGGATAGGAAGAAGGAAGGTGCGGGAGAACAAGCAACACGTAGTGCCTGGGAGGGGGGACAGTGCAAGAGAGAAAGTGCTGGGGACACAGCAGTAGCAGTCACCGAGGAATGTGTTCTGATCTCGCAGAGGCGGGGAAGCAGGAAGAAAAGTGCTTTAGTCTGGGCACATCCTCTGGGTGCCACACGGAAGGTCTAGGAAACGACATCAGTGGTCCTTGGGGAGACCTGGGCCCCCAGCGGGTGGGGAGTCATCAGCACGTCAGCGACACGGTGGTGGCCAAAGTTCTGAGGGTGACCGAGACCCCCAGCTGCCGAGGGGTGAGTGAACCGGACCCTACTCACCCGCCAGGGACAGGGGAAGGGGGCGCAGAGCCCGAGTGGCCCGGGTGGGCACCACCTATGAAGGCGATCTGGCGCCCACACGGCTCGACTGACCCACAAGTCGGACTTTTTCAGAACATTTCACTCACCATCCAGAGATAGCGACTGGGGCCGATGCTAAGTATTTGGTTCACACGTGACCCAACAACGGTGGTAGCGACCAATCACCCCCACTTCCCTCCCTGGCCTCCAAGCATCCACGTCCACTCAGCTTGTCCCACAGAAAACGACACCCTCTTATGCAGCCTTCACGTGCACTCCTGACCCCACTACCTGTTTTAGGGGTGTTGAGATTTCCACCCCCCACCCCCCCCCCGCACTGGTCCTAACACGCGCACGCACACACGTCCGGGCCCCTTCTCTGCTTCCTCTTTGTGACAAACCGCTTGGAACAACGGTCCAACCTGTGTTCACTGCCTCACTCCCTGTTCACTCTTCACCCACTGCCGCCTGCCTTTTCTAGAACTCTACGGAAACACTGAATCTTCGTGGACCTTGAGGATACCCAGACCACTGGCTTCTTTCCAGGCTCCACAAAACCGAAGCTGCCTTACTAGCTTGGCCTCCTATCACCCTGCACCAAGTGTCCTCATCGTCCTGACGTATCCCAAGTACATTAAGGCCTCCGTTCCTCAGCACACGCGTTCCACGTGAAAGGCCTCACTTCACCCTCTTCTTAACTTCTGCGTATCTCAACAGCCAACTGCAAAGACGCCGACTTTGGAAAAGTTCAGGGGTGCCCAACACAGAAGTCTGCTGTTGCCACACCAACCACCCTACACCACAAGGTCTTCAGGTGGGCCCCCCACTCCCTACCAAGAGGGGGTCCTCAAGGATACGAATCAGGTTCCGCTCCTCTCTTACATCCGCTATCTAGGCCGATGCCTTAACAGGTACTACGTGCTCAATACGCATGGACTTTCCGAATCCGTGTTTGTAAGATTCAGGGAATCAATGGTTTGGCTGTAAATCATTTACAAAATATCCTGTTCCAGATCAAAGTGGTTTGCCAAGGACATTTTGAAGCACTTAGATTTGAGTCATGGTTGAGCAGATATGGTTCCAACTCAGCTTGTTCCAGGTTTTCAGTAATATTTGGTTCAAGTCCCTTGCAAGATAAAGTCAAAACCCTAAAACAAAATAAAGAGAGTAGCAAGGAAGTGGGAGAGAAGACTGATGGATACTAAAAGAAAGGAAAATTATCAACACGGGGAAAAAGGTCCCACTGTTACAGGCACTCACTGTGATCACTCTGGGTTCAACACCTGTTTACCTTCAAACTCAAGGCTAAGTCTCTTCACCCCATAAAGTAGAAAAAGGATCCACCTTGGGGACCGTGCCGTGCGACAGAATTTACTTACTAAGACACCCATAGACCAGCCTCCAGAAGGCCAAGACCAATCAGCCTTCCATAATTCCTTTTACGCCAACCAAATCTACTTCTTAAACACCAGTCTCCACTCCGGAGGCCTTAAGGTCCGATCATCTGGCTCTGCATCCACTCCCAGCTTGGCAGTCACAGCAAAGGACGCCCAAGACAACTTTAACCACATCAACTTCAATAAAGGGGATATTGTGAGGATGCACCCGAAAAGGATATCCAACCAAGACTCATTCCCACCGTGGAAGAGGAACACTCTGGCGTTTCACCACATGTATCACTTAGAAAACCCACGATATCCTTAGGGGTGAGCCTAAACTACGAAAAATTAAGTGCCTAGAGTGATGGTACTCCCTGGCTATTACCCCACATTTCCTGTTTAATTCCCCCAATCAGGAAAATCAAACAACAGGACTTCACTGGTGGCAAAGTGAGCGCTTCTCACGTGACTGGGGCTGCACAGCCCAGACGTGTGCACTCCTGTGGCCGGCCACACCAGGGGCCACGTTCACTAAGCCCCAGCAGCCTGGACGTGGGGTTCCTGGCTGAGCTCCATCACCTTCCTCCTGTCCACACTCTGGGACCTACTGTTCTGGGAGCCCACACACACGCGGTGGGCAGCAGGAAGGATGCTCCCAGTCCAAATTTGCCCCAGAAAGGAGCAAAGTGGCAGTTGGCTGAGGTGGCAGGCTTCGGGGGGAACTTACCACACGCGACAGAGGCCGGTCCCCCACCAGGCGTAGGGCAGTGACATTCCGTCCTAGGCCCGAGGCATGGATCCTCCTCCCCTCCTCCCTGGTTAGTAAGTACCCTCCTCTCCAGGTCTCTCTCCTCTCTGAGCTCACCCTCCAGATGCCCTCCTGGCCAAAGGTCCTAGTAGAGCACGACACAGATCTGTGACCCTCCCCCCATCTCCCCCAATCGTGGGTCCTTAAGACCCCCCCTCCCCTCCAGCCTCCCGGCCGCGGGTCTCGCAAACCACCCCCACATCCCCTCTCTCTCCTCTGCTCCCCGCCGGGCGCAGGTCCCGCAGAACCCCCACTCCCAGGTCTCCTGCCTCCCCTCCCCGGGTCTCCTCCAGAAAGTCCCGCAGACCAACCTCAGGTCTCCTCTCCAGATCCCCTCCCGAGAGTACCGCAGACCCCCCCCCCCCACCAGGTCCCCTATCCCCCGCCAAGCTCGCCGGCCCCGGGCCTGCTCGGCACAGGTGGCCCAGCCTCCGCGCAGCCAGGCCGGCGGGCTCGGCGGGGCCCGGGCGGCGGGGCCCAGACGTTTTGCGCCCGGGCGCGCGCCCGCGGCGGGAGCGGGGACGGGCCGGGGACGCGGAGAGCGGCGGGCGGGGGCGGCGCGGTACCTGCGGGTCGATGTCGCCCACCGCGTAGTACTTGACCTCTCGGAACATCTCATCGGGAACTTTGGGCGCCGGGTCCGACATGGTCGCGGCTGCCGGAAGGCTCCGCGGCGGCTCCCGCCCCGCCCCGCGGGGCCCGCTCCCCAACGGCGCGGCCGGGGCCCGGTCCTGCGAGTCGGGCCCGCTCCCC